ATGCTGAGATGCAACAAAGTCACTGGCCATTTGTAGGAAGTGGCACTTTTCAGATGTCGATGTAGTTAACCTTTCAAAACCATCAGGACTCTATCACCAGTTTTGGCGATCTAATTCATCTTTTTGTCCTCAATTATGCATTGACATATGCATTATATTTAGCTGGAATATTCTATATAAACCACCCAGGACATAACAGTCAGTCCAACTCAAGGCTGAACGGTGACATATTGCTGGAAGACTACTATTAGAAATACATACAATTACTGCTACACAGAACACTGCGGCTCAGATCAATAAATAAAAGCAATAACTGGTCCTTTTTAACAAACAGACTTTATTATAAGATATATACAGGGGCTCAGATTCTGCCAAATTAATATCAGATATTGCACAAAAGCATTCATGCTGTTGAAAATATTGTATATAAACACTATTAGGTATTCCATAATTTTTCTATCTTGATTGTCAGTGTCACAGGAGTAATTTCCCAGATCATGACCGCTCTCTTAAAAATAATGCTAGGATTACATTCCACACGGCAGAAAGAAAGGACATTCAGCGAAAACCCATAACATATCTCTAGACCATTTAAGCAAATGACAGATGAACTGTGAACAGAAAGTATTATCACAATAGCCACCTAGAAAATATCCTGGAACGAATGTAGACGGTTTCATACTTACTGGCTATACCTTTGTTCGTTTCATACCTTGTCACAACAAAAAGGGGGGAAACATGCTTTTTACTAAGTCCACATGAAAGACTGCATATATACCTGCGGCAGCATCGGGTTGTATTTCATTTCAATAGGATACCTCAAAGAAAAAAGATCAGCTTTATCCACTGTGCAACTCCGCTTCACCAGTTACATTTACATGAGCAGAGTAACCATGCAATTGTTCATCCTCAAGATGGGCTTTTGTTCAGATGAAGTTATTCATATGTGCCTGTGACAGCATAAATAATGCTTAAAGGGAAACTTCAAAGACTTTAAACATAAAGGTCATTTACTCATCATTGGGATAAAATATAAAAAGCTTTAAAATTCAACATACAGTTGAATCAATGCATCTCTAAAACAGTCTGAACAAAAACTGAAGATCACATTCATAAGGGGAGGATCCATGTGGTTATGCATTAGTTTGAGTTCAGTGTATCTTTCCCAACTTTGTTACCCCCCCCCCAACTTCAAAACACAGTAACGCAAATATTAAATGCAATACTAAATACCTTTGCTCTTACATTAATCTGTAACTCTTTTAATTAGAAATGGTGAGTTTCAGAAATAATGAACAGTGTCTGAGAAGAACCTGATGTTTTACCCAGTGGACAGGTGATATATACAGAATATAGTTGCTGAAGAAAATCCACCAATCTCAGAAATATGCAGAAGATTCTTCATTAGTGCAGATGACAAAAAAAAGCAGGAAGCAGTGAGATGCTTATGGGGCACAGTGAAGAGGTTAGAATCAGAGTAAGCCTGGCATTAGTTTTCTCACCCTCACACTACATAATCTGATTTGTGACAGTGACATGTTGTAACCCAAAAACCACTTCAGTAACTGTTGTAAGAGTAGACTTCTCTTTGCATGAAGACCCACCTAGTGAAGAGGGACTGGAGATTCCTACTGTGGAGAGAGTTCTCTTATGCCATGGCATCGGTCTCCTCAGCCTCCACCAGGCAGGACCGATCTGTGTCCAGGACTCGGAACGGAGGGTGGTACTCAAACGCTGTGAGGATAGAGGTGCCAAGACTGTGCTTCTGGTGCAAAAACCAAATAACTGCTGAGACTCCTATGATAGCCACCACGCTGAGAATGACCAGGGCGGAGAGCAGCACGCTGGGCTCTGAGGAGGACAAGTAACAATGCAAGGAGGGTCACTGCTGTAATCACTAATGAATAAAAACAAAGCACACACACACACACACACACACACACACACAGAAATCAAAGGTTGGCTTACTCTGCTTGGCGTCTTCAGCCTCTGAAAAGAAAAAAAAAAAACCCAAAGTGAGGCAAGTGGAAAACAATTCCATCTACGTATTTTTTTTAAGTCGCATTAACTAAAGTTCTCATGAATAAGCAATATTAACAAAATCTGGGAGCTAAATTCTGCAAATCAACAGGTTTAAGAGATAATTTGACTGTGTGTTGCAAGTAAAAAAAAGAAATGTAAATCTTACTCTGAGATGTCTCACAGATGACTCCATTTTCCACTTGATCCACACAGCTGACATTTTCCCACTTCCCTGTGCTGCTGTGCAGAGCCACACACGTCTCCAAGGGCATAAGCTCTGATGCATATGAGCCGCCCTCCCAGTTGGTGAATCTCACAGGGTCCTCACCGAACCACCTCATAGTTTCATCTGACAAGATGCACCAGTTAGTATTCCCACATGACAAGCGGCGACAATAATACACTAACATTACCTGTAATTACTAATCATTTCCACAAACTGCACTCAGCTGCATTACAACAAAAATAACCCTCAGGATCTACACTAACTGGAATGTGATTTAATACTGTGTGTTAGTTTAGCCTCCCCCGGTGTGCCTCTCATGACTGCTTCAAAAAAATATAGGATTTTCTGAAGCTGAGCTGGGATTTAAAGAGAATGAGTCAGTGCTGTTACACAAGCGTTCAAATGTTGATAGCACATATTCTGTGTGTCTTCATGCCTCAGGAAAACACAGCAATACCAGAAAAAAAAACCTCAAAATGTCAGTGTTGGTTTTCCACAGTTATCTCCAATTAATTGTAGTTAAGTAGGATGTTTTTCAATATTTGACTGTTATTATTGAGAATCTGATTTGATTTGTAGCATGTTTCTACACAGTCCTCTGGGGACAAGGTACTTACTGTCTGTGTCATAATACATTCCCAGCCACACGTTGACTTGGCCTTTCCACACAGCTGGGCTATATTTAACGACAAAGTCATTTTCCTCAGCACTCTGGATGGTCAAAAGCTCTAAAGAGGAATAGGACAGGTAGAGTATAATAACAGGATCACACACACACATCGAGAAAAAAAGCACATTAGTCATTCTGTATTTGATAAAAAAAATTTAAAACTGAAAATACCCAAGGGGTGTTGGCACAGGGATTTTGCTCTCTCAAATGTATAGCTTTTGATTTTGTCTTCTTCCCCATGGACAAAGTAGTAACATTTGTCCTGAAAGGGCACCCAGGTGCGTCCATCTGCAGGGCAGTCTGAGGAAAGTCAGGGGACAAGACATGGTAATGGCAGGATTTGACTGCGTGCACAGGATGGGTTAGAATCTACAAGGGCGAAAATGAACAAAACACCTTTTGAAATAGGACTCACCGCACAAACTAACACCCCTAGAGTAAATTTCCATTTTAAGATGCTGCAACAACTCTGCCATTTAATGCCATTCTACAACCCCTGGTAAATCTGACATGTCTGACAGTAACTTTCCCACCCCTTCTGGTGAGTGTCAACTCACCCTCCGTTCCTCTTTACTGGTAGAGTTTGTGTTTGGAAAATGCTCTCATGATTTCCAAGACTGTTCCCCTTGTAGTTATTCCACTGCTTCCACCTGTTATTTGGGATCAGATGATTTTCCCTCTTTGGACTTCTGTTCTGTCTGCCTTGAAATGGCTTCAAAACCTCAACTACTGTAGCTGTCAGACTTCTCTTACAGTTGAAAAATGTTGCTATTTGCCTATTTACAGTGGGTTCAGAAAGTATTCAGACCCCTTCACCTTTTGCAAACTTTACTGTTGTAAATTTGATTTTAAATTGATAAACTACCATAGTGTTGCACGATATACCGGTACTAGTATGGTACCGCGGTACTGAGGCATTTAAAATGGTACTATACTGCATTTGGACGGTACCGGTACTTGCAGCGCCGCCGGCTGTGCCCGCCCGCAGCGCCCGCCCGCAACAGAGGAAAACAGAGCAGGAAACAGCTTCCTCGTCCTCTGCTCACTGAGCAGCGTGGACTGGAGCAACAAACGGAGCAGGAGGAAAGCTTGGAGATAGCAGAGACGTTGGAGAGAAAGAG